TTTATTAATAAATATTAATTAAAAACTGTGATAAAAAATTAAAAAATATTAAAAAATAAGTTTATCAATAAAGTTAAAAAATTCCAATCTGTTAATAGTTTGGTAAAAAAAACTATCTAAACTAACTTTTTCAATCTACTAATAGTTTTTACCTTAACTGTTATTCACTAGTTTTAAATTACTAAATAAAAATTTTTACGGAATGTGTTATTTATAATAGTTTTAAAATATATAAGTTTACTAAATACTTATCTTTAATAATTTAACCAAAATTACTATTCACTGTCCAAAATCCACCATACCAAACAAGCCCAACAAGACCAATCCGTCCAGCAGCTTGCAGTGCAGTGGCCACGCGCGTTTGTGAGCAGCTGTTTGGACACTAAAAAGCTTCGTTTGGAGGTGCCTAACAAGTTTTATTAATCCCCCTGTAAAAAAGAAAAAAAGAAAAAGAAAAAGTGCACAACAGTATCGCTTAATTACCTATCAATATTGGATTTCGAAGGGAAATCTCCCTATTCCCTTTATAAGCTCTCGTAACCCTTATCCCTTTTCCAATTCTTTTAAATTTATTTATTTATTTTTTGTTTTGAACTATATAACTACAAATAATCCTTTTCATTCTTTAATTTACTCACTTACGAGATATACGATTAAAACTTAAAACTTCTTAATTTTATTAGAAAAGAGATGACCACAATACTTCTTTATTAGGTCCTTAGGTTCCTAATTCTTTTTGTAGACATATGTGTCAATACAAAATAAATTGTAGTTTTTTAATTAAAAAAGTTAAATTTGTTGACTTTTACAAGATCATATAGTTAGTTTAATTTTATTTGTTGAGCAGGAGTTATTACAAATGCACGCATCAAGAATGTAATGTCAAGAAGCAAGTTCAACGATTAACTAAAGACGAAGGGATCGTTGTGACAACCTACGAGGGCATGCATTCACATCCAATTGAGAAGTCTAATGACAATTTTGAGCATATCTTGAGCCAAATGCAAATCTACTACCCTTCATTCTAAATCATCATGTATGCATTAGAGCATAGAGACTTCACATCCTTATTTATTGTATTCATATTAAATATTAAATCCTCTCAAATAAAGTGTGCTTCCAAAAAGCAAAACAGAGTTAATTTATATACCCTTCTTGATATTGGATAAGAAAACTTCTTTTGGTTGGTAACTTTTTGAAAAAACGAAGATATGAATATTTTTTTTAATTTCTTTTTTTTTTTTTTTTTTACATCAGGCTTAGTTGTTGTATTGCAGAGATTCTTTTTAATATATTTTTTTTTTCTGGTGAATTGTTCTCCTTCTGCATATCTAGCCTAGATGGTTTAAACCTATGGTGTTGATCCAAATCAATGTTTTTTAGGATAGATTTTAAATAGAACAAGACAATGGGAATATGGAATACTCTTTTCTTCTTGAAATTAGAAAGTAGGTTTTAAACAAAAAACGGGTGGGCAAAAGACTTCATTTAAATTCTACTTTGAATGTATAATCTAATATATATAATATAGAGAAGGGATTCATTTACACACAATTCTTACACACCATACTTATATAAAATCTCAAGTATTTATCTTATCACTTTCAATGGTTGAGATTTTTTCACGTTTATTAAAAATAATTATCAGTTTCACTTAAAAAGTAATAATAAATATCAACTATTGAAAGTGGAAAGATGAATGGTTGAGATTTTATGTAAGTGTAGTTTAAAATGTAAGTGTAGTGTTTTAAACTTACATGTAAATGAATCTCTCATACATATGTATATGAGGGATTATTGTTGTTAATAACGGCCATAGCGTAATAGTTCGTAGCCTATCCATTGTAACTATGCTTGTAGCATAGCAAATTCACAATAGCAATTGTCTTGGTCACTATAGCGACTACTTTTTACATAGCGAACATCGACCACTTTTTACCTAACAAACAGCGGCCACTATTAATGATATTTCAATACTTTGTGAAAAGTTCAATGTCATATCCCTTTTTTAAAGTATAATGGTCTTTAAACTTTAATTCTATTAAAAAAAAGTCCCTTTTATCCCTAAATAGAAACAAAACCCTAGTTCCCACATCTCTACTCCTAGAGTTCACAATCTCTTCCTCTTCTTTTGAAAGAAGTTGCCCCAATCTCTTCATAGAAGAAGTTGCTAGCAGCAACCCACTTAATCACAGTGATCCCACAAACACAAAGCCTAGATTTGGCATGGCTCAACCTTTGCTTAGGTACTAATCTCCTTTTCCTCTCTTTTTTCCATTTTTAAATTT